TTCAGTCGTGGTACGCATACATATTGTATGTGTCGCGCGAACAACGTCTGGTCGGAGTACGTTGAAAAATCTCTCCAATCCGTTTGATATTGCCCTCGGTTACTCGAGGCCGCCTCGTGTTCTTTCATTTGCGCAGACGCCCAGATTGCTTATACCCCCCCCCCCCCNCCCCCCCCCGGTGGATGCTCTGGACAGTCTGATTTATCGCGAAACGACGACGAAAATCGGATTGTGCCGTTTTTGATGGTTCACGTTTTTAACATATTTTGTGTTGTCCGGTCGACAACATTCGATCGTTATTACGATAAATGATGGTATCAATTGATGAATTAATGCCGAACTAAAACTCGTTATTTCCCGTAAATAATAAAGACACGGATAGCGCGTGCCGATACTAATCTCAAAAGAGGCTCGGTGCCCGGAATGGCGGCCAACTAAGGTCAATTACCAAAGTGCTCCTAGCGCTAACGTGATTTTAGATAAGATTTGTTATCATTCCCTCCGTTACGATGTGGAGCTATCCTTTTTGATCTATGCTTAAAACGGGCGTTGAGTTGAGACATTACAATGTTTATGGATATAAGTTTTAGTTTTTTTCAAAAAACTTATAAACAATAACGTAATCATATATTATGTGTCGAGGAAAAGACAAAAATGGTCTCAGTTTCTTATCGTTCAAAAACCAAAAAACTATAGTCCATGACCTATCCATGTCTTTATTATCTATGTAATTCCCCTCAGTTATTAAGTATATAATTTGATAAGAAAGAGTTTATGATGTGGATAATCATTAAAAAACGATTTTAAACCGAGTGAATCATTCTGAATTGTCCTGTTTATCTATGGTCAATATACATGTTAGTAACACTTGTTGAATATATATATTCAAAATATATCTATGGATTTCGGGGAGTTTATTTGTTTAAATTTCTTTCGAAGGAACACTTATAGGTAGATATTTAAAATATATTTTGAAAGATAAAAAAGTGTTCGTAGTGAATCTTTTAGATTCTGAGTGGAATAAAGAAACTTATAGTTTTACAAAGATGTTTGTTTTTCTTTTTATTTGTGGACAACTTATCTACCAGAGATCTTGCTCCGATTTGTATGTGTAGCACCTATTCTGAAAAGAAACCTGTGTTGGTGAGGGAGTTTTAAGTTAACACCGATAACATAGATTGTAGTTGTCATTGTACGATGACGCTCCCCACACCCACACACATGAGTACATGACGGTTGTGTACACGTGTAGTACTGTAGTCGTAAGTCGTAGTCTAGCTCTCCTCATGACTTGTATAATATTATATGATCTTAAATTTGTATTACTAACAGTTACACCCGAGTGTTAATTAATTAATAATACACAAATAACACATTTTTAGGGGGAGGTACCCACTTTAAGGAAGTCATTTTTCAATTTTCTCAAGAGTTTACTCATCCAAATGCGAAAAACCTAAAAAAAAAAAACTGATGAAAAACGGGAAAATGAATGAAATATATTTGTATAATATTACTATTTTTTTCTTCTGTGGACAACTTGTCTACCATCGATTTTGCTCCAACAATCATAGAAATGTCTCTAAAAGGAAATATCACTAGGGAGGTACTTTAAAGATGTCATTTTTCGATTTTTTCAGGAGTTTTCCCAGCAAATGTGAAAAACCGGGAAAATTGGTACAACATCAAACAAATATTTTTAAAGAAAATATAATAAGCCTGTTTAATAATTTTACTATAATATGGCATATATATTGTTGAAAGATCGTCACTATCAACTGAACTCCTCTCAGAATCATTTTTTCGTAAACAATATTTTATCGTTGCTTACAGGTTGCATCCATTAAATTACCTAAAACAGCGGCTGCACCCGTCCCCATTATCCTAGGACGTCTTTTTTACATTAATGATATCATAAGCCTATAATAATATTGTACAATAAAATATCATCGACAAAAATAATTTAGGTACTAATATTGAGAAGGCATTGAGTAAATATTATAATAATACCTATACACATATACATGCACGGGTGTAAAACTATTTGTTTATCGAAATAAAACCGTAAAACCAACAGTTTATGTAGACCGTTATTTATGAACGATCCTGTAATATAGGACTATTTTTTTTTTTTTTTCCAAAACAATATACTAAACAAATTTGTTTAATGTTTGTTTTCGAGTGCCTAAATATATTTTTAAGAAAGAAAAAAAAACACGAAATTAAATAAATATAGGTAGAAGGTACCGCCGTTCGACTGCTATAAAACTCAATAAAAATAATTATTACTCATAAATGTCAACTACAACCCATAGTCGGTACGTGGTAAATATTAATATTGTTGTTATAGTAAGCATTATTAAAAAATATTTAATAATAATATTAGTAATAAATAATAACCAAAACAAATAAAAAAATCGATATTTGTTTTGAGTATTGACCTCCAAAACAACTTTTTGTTTTAGATTCTGGGTGCAGCAAAGAATTTAAGGTTTTACTAAGATGTATTTTATTTGGTTTTGTTTTTTTTTTTTTTTTTGTCTCCGATTTTTACCAATAATCGTACTCTAAATTTCAAGTGGGAAATCGTTTTGGTCTAGTTGGTACATTTGGATGTCAATTTTCCTTGTTCTTTTTCTTAATAATTGAAAAAACACCGGAGTTAAAGCTTTACTTCGGTCGTTTTTAGCTATAAATTAGTTTAAATCAATCTTAGAGACCTGAAGTTTACTCGTAATAGGAACTCATATTAGCCATTGCTATACGTGGTAATATTTTTAAAACGCTCTGACGATATTAAAGCTATTTAACATTTTCGAGTTTATTATAGATTGGTTTTTTGTCAAATTGTTATGTTATTAAATTATATATTAAATTGTCAAAACAATTTTACTCTAGATTCGTCATTAGTTGTACTTGATAAAAAAAAAGTTAAGAAAACATGGTCAAAATTTACTTCTCGGTTCGTCGTAATATACTATACGGCTCAAAAAAAATTAGCATCCTTTGCAATTATTTAACTCAAGATAGTTTGCCACTCCTTCCTCACCCGTGTATCAATTTTTAAACACGACTCAACGGTTAATAACTTACGAAGAAACCTTTGTTTGCACAGACATTTAGTTTGGATTCTACTACGATAGATTTACGATAGAAATGTCTTTTTTTTCTTTTGCCTGTCTGTAAACAAATTTTCTATCAAATATGGTGCAATAAGGAAATACATTTTTAATTTTACTTGTATTTTTAATAATCGGGGAAAATCGAGAAAAACGTTTGGTATATTCGATTTTTTTTTTTTTTTTTATATTGTAGTAAAAAATAATTGTTAAAATCGAAAATTTCACCAAATACTTAAAAATAGCTCTTTCAAGACACGATTACAATTTTCAAAAAATTCCGTCAATTGTTCTGTTAGTCAATGTTTAGAAATTTGAAATTATCAAGTTTTTTCAATTTCGTGTTTGGTTTAAAGCGATTAACATTGTTTTGGCCCGGTGAAAAGGCTCGACAATTTAACCCGATGTTTATCATGAATTACGATTAGTGGTAAAAAAATAAAAAGGTTTCTTTTATGTGCGTTTAATGTACAAGTTTTAATAAAAATACGAAAATACGTACCTATCCCGCGTTCCACTGGAAATAATTTAACTCTAAAATTTCTGAAAAATTAGTTGAGGTACGGAATCCCCCTCTGCGACCCCCCCCCCCCCTCTCAATTCGAGCAATGGCCGCGCGATCACCGTCGACCGTTATAATAAAAAAATAATAATAATACAACATTGTAGATAAGAGTCGCCGTTACGGAGAAAACAACACTAAACAAAACACCACATAAAGTATACCTACATAATAATACAAATATACCGGGACCCCGACAATAATAATATTTACGGCCCGCACAGATCGATGACTCCGATTTCTAAAACAGGATTTATATTTCCGTATTGGAAGATGTTACGCGATAGAAATTGAACGTACACCCATTAAAAACCTACCTGGGTATATTTCTATTTCAGTTTTCTCGTACGATTAATAATAATATTCCGAAACCTGTTTGCGTTGCGCGTTAAATGTATATTATGTTATAAAGTTTATAAAAAAAAAAAAAAAACACGAAAAATATGTATATTGTACATTCCCGGCAGTTTTATTTTTAGGGCTATAATAAATTATAACAAAAAAAACCGAAATTCTAAAAACGAAAAACCACTAAACATTATGAAGAAATGCGGTATGCACCGCTGTGGACGATCATTGCGTAAAATGTTTTGCTGTTTTTTTTTTTTTAATTTTTTATTTATCATTTTAAAAACACCGACATTTTTAAACGATGTTTGTTTGCGCATTAAATTTACATACCTAATAAAACAAAAATATTATAATAATCGTAAATTATATTGTCATGCCTGTTCCGTTGCATTGAGTAATTTTTTCTGTATTTTCTTCCTAACTTGAACAATATATTTAGAAAGACCGTCTGAGGCTACTGAATATCCAGACACTCGAAAAACTTCAAAACCTTCAAAAAACGATTTTTTTTTTCTTTCTTGAAAACACGGAGTGCTTTAAGATGATGGTGCACTCGGAGTTTTTCGGAAACTATTATTTTAGAAGTTATGATGATTTGAAAACTGTGGGTATGTCATTGTTATACATAATATGCCAAACTTTGAAAATTTACTCAATGATTTTTTCATATAGATTTTTGCACTGAATATTGTCTTTTCAGTAAGCACCAATACTTTGGTAAATACCATTTATTCAATGGTGTGATCAAAATTGTACCGATTGCCATTTTAATAACTTTATAGCTAGATCTAAGATTTTTTTTTTTTTTAACTGGCTTAGTGTCGTTGAACTATCAAAAACGTTACTTTACAGGTTGCATTAAGTATAACGCTATACATAATGCAATACATATTATGTTATATTTTTTAACCATTTTTTTACTCGTGTTTATTTAATTATATTTTCAGATTTTTTTTTGGTTACCGAGACTACGGTAATTACCGCGCAAAAATAATATAGTCGGGCCAGAATGCAGTCTTGGTGAATTTTAGGTGTGTATGAGAATACCCTGCAATATCTCAAACGACGCCCATGGAATAAACCGAGTTCAACGCCGACAACTTAGATTAGTAAAGTTAAAAGGTGCCCAACGTAATATTATATAATGTATAGTAGAATTTGTTTAAAAACCTAAACCGGACAATGGAAACCATAGAAGTATACGCATGCACTGTATACCTACTTCAATTCAAAATCGCGCGGAAATAACCGAAATTAAAAATAATTGCAAAAAAGAAACTCGATATAATCGAAATTATATTTAAACGCGAGTAGGAAGCTGGCCAAAAAAAAAAAAAAAAAAGAAAAGAAACCACAACGAACTGTTATGCATTCAAAACGCTAGTATTAGACTACCGAAGACTATAATAATGATTTCAAAAACCGGCTAATTGAATTTAAGACTAAATAGAAACTGCGATGTCGACATTAGTGTTCTGGGGTGTATCGAGAAATTCTTGAGGACGTCGCAAATTTACACGGGAAACCGGAATGCCATCGGTTGTTACAAACGTTGTCCGTAACCACACGGCGATATTTGTATAGCGACTTTTGTCAGTAGGTTTCAAAAATAAACACCAAAGTATATTACATGGAATGTGCCTTTGTCGTAAATCTACGTGACATTTTTGTCGACTGGTATACCTACCTACTGTTAAATTGAAATAGTGTTAGGAACTATAACGGGACGCGGACGTCGGTATGTACTCGCACATAAAATATCGCACGCAATCGATTTTTATATCAGTTTTCAGTATTCAACGTACACATTTCTATTCGTGTTTTTCGTTAAATCGTACGTTTGATTTCATAGAAAACGACATTAATAATAACGTGTGCAGTTTACGTGAGGCCCCGAGGTTGATGTTTGAATCTAATAAATAACGAAAAGAGTAGAGAAAAACTGGTATAACACAGGGGTCATACGTGTAAGCCAGCTCTGTGGATTTATGCGATTCGAAAAAAAAAAACAAAAGTCCAAAGTTAACGTGCGTACATTTATCGCGAGAAAAAAGGATTGGAAATAAATAAATAAGGATAAATCCGGATAGATTCTAAAGATGCCAATTCCGTTTCCAGTTAGTAACCGTTTTTATTTTATTTTTATTTTTTTCGCGAAAAACGTACAAAAACTAATCACGGACTTAAGTCTATTCGGTTCGCGTAAATCGGACAATTGGACTTTTGGCCATACCTGTAGAATAAAGCATTTCGGGTCCGTGAACGATTGTGAAATAGGATAATGTAATCCGTAATTGTACGCGACGAGGACGCCCGAATCCTGTGCAATAACCGCGTCCCCTCCCCGCCGCTAAAGTAGACTGCGCATACGCACTTTATTGCATTCGCGATAATAGCCCCATGCAGCGGGCTGTGTATCATATTGTTATCTCGAACTCAAAACGATGCGAGTGTATACCCGTCACGTCACACTGCAAAGATGATATTATTTATAATCGCTCGATTAGTGAAAACAAATCTGTCGCATAGGATATTTTTTTTAAATTTTTTTTTTTTTTACTATTCACGCATACACTACGGGCAATCGTATCCGGTTACGCGTTAACGATATTACTGTACATTATGTACCGAGTGTACAAGTATACATATAAGAGCGTAAAAATATGGCCGCACACGGTATATTTTATATTTCGAATTGCGTTACTACAGTCGAATATAGGTCATGGGCTTTCGCGTGTGTGCGCGTGCACAGTGCAATGTATTGTATGCCGATGATGTAATTTAGGCAATAAATGCGAACGGCTAAACAGCCGCCATTTTCAGTGTGGCGCCGAACAATAAATAATTTACGGCGCGTTTTATGAAAGCCGTACAGCGGCAAAAAAAAATTACAGATAACTCTCGGGTCTCCGCCCTGCAAAGTAAAGTAAAAACAAACAGAGCTTTGAAGCACACTGTGCCATGATCGCATGCTGTGACGCGTGGCTAAAAAGGTTACAGGTGAGCCGCCGGCGGGCCACGCCATCGACGCTTCGTATCGGTCCGAGTCCAGTCTTGTGTATAATGATTTTGTTTTAAATTCGAACGCATTATAGAAACGTGTTCAAAATATGTAACCGAACGAGAATTAACGAAATATATTCAAATGTATCGAAAAATATTTGAATAATTTTCTAAACATTTTTTTTTCGGCTAGTTTATGCCAGTTGCAGAACAACAGTTCTGAGATTACCTTTTTATCACTCGGTATTTTATTGAACAAACCGATTACTGATTATAGTATAACGAATCAAATATTATGTCATTAATCGGCCAACTATTAAACGTCGATTCTGTGACGTCGGAATAGGGCACTGTTCTCCACCCTCTCCGTTTTATTTATGAGGACAAACATATCATTTCGCCACCCCTGCCCAAATAATTTATCTACAGATAAAACGTTATACGAATAACGAAAACAAATATTTGAGTTCATGTTTCATTAATATTATTTACTAATCCCTCTGTGAATATAAATATTTAATATTCAAATTTCAAATAAACACAAGGTATTTGAGTTTGTTATTGCTTTATAACGCAACTGATATTAAGGTTTCGATTTTCAAGTGTAGTATCTCTTCTGAAATCAGACTGTGTTTGGTTGGTGCATTGAGAAGGTCATTTTTTTTTTTCTTGTAATTATCTTAATAATTTGGATGAACCGGAAGGTTTACAGCATTGGTGGTTTCATTATTTTCGATTTTGGTTTTTTTGTTTTAATTCGATTAAAAACAATCACAGAGACCAGAAATTCTCACAAAATGTTTATATTAGCCTTTTTTAAACATTTTTTTTTTTTTACATATTCTGACAATTTTTTAGTTATTTATAGGTATTTGTCATTTTCGAATTTTTTAAAAAAATATTTGATTTGACTTATTTATTTAACATTATAAAATAAATATAAAACAAAGTATTGCAATTTTAAAAGTTAAAATGCAAATAAAACTGTTTGGCCGTGTAATAAATACTGCGTAATAAATACTTGAATATTTAATACTCTGTTTATCGTAAGCTGTACTAGGTGAAAAACAAAATAAAAAAATTAACGTAACTCAGTATTCCATGTAGATAATACTAAAATCGCGGCATTTCAAAACATGTTTAATCGAACGTCGTTCAAAATAATATTTCATTAGCGATGATTTGTTGTTGCGTGCAGTTATAAAATTAATTAGGTACTCTATTTATCATCCATCGGAACGTTCCGTCTAAAACGGTGGCACGCCCATCGGCAGTATCAGCTATTTTTTTTTTTTTCAAATCGAACAAAGAATCACATTTCATCAAAAAATTAAAAATAATAATTCAAAAGATTTCAATTAAGAGTATTCGCTACATTTTAACTGATTTCAGATAGATATTTCAGTAGGCACCTGTCTGGAGAAACGCCGGATGTAGGTGAATTTGTTTGCAAATTTTGTGGATCCGTAATTCGTGTATCCGTCGCGTGCGACCTTGTTAACGAATTTGTTTCGCGGCACAACGAAATACGGAAAATCTAATTTCAATTTCACACTATAGCGATGGTGACCGTTTACGACTTGCAAAAATTCAATTAATTTGTTCCTACCGGCGATGTCGCTTTTGGCGGTTTACAGTCTAACCTTACATATATTACACATAATACAGAGTGATTATTTTATCCGTGATCCGGCGATTTTCTCGAAAGATATTAAGTAAATTTATTTCAGTTTATTCATTTTTTTTTCTCATTATTATCATGGAATCGTTTAACCTAACTCTATTTGAACACTGTTTTCATTGATTTATCTTTCATGAGTTTAGAACCTAGTAGCAGCAGTTAAGTATAACACATTGATCAAAATAATAGTAATGGATCGTGATAAAAAAAATCACCTTGTATTAGGCTGTATAGTGTAGGTAATCAACCTGCAGCGGACTGTCATTAACAATTTTTGATTGGACATAAAATCGATTGCAGGTTATTGTTCCGACAAATATAAATCAGACTGTATAATAATAGACTACATATTACATAGTTAGAAAAGTCACAATTACGAATGCTTTGAAAAAAAAAAATACGAAAAATTAAAAAATTGAACTCGCGGAATAGAAATAAAATTACTATCAAGATTTTTTTTTTTTTTTTGTAGAGCTTTTAAGACATATTATATGGTATTTTTGAAGGACTCTATAAGATCATTATCGCCTAACCTATAAAAACGTGAAAAATTGTATAGATAAATATTCGCGCGAATGTGAAAAACGAATAAATGATATTGTTACCTAATCAAAAATCAAAAACTATTTCGGTATAAGCTTGCGGAAAATGGTCAACATTTTAAAAATTTGAAAATATTACGATAATAATGTGTAATCAAAATCGAATTTGCTCAAATCATTGTAAGGTAATCCTATTGATAGCAATGGTAGCAATGGCGTACCCAAGAGTATTTAAGAGGGGGGGGGGGCTAAACATAAAACAAATATAAATTGTATAGAATTATTCAAGCTAAATGTACCCAAATGTCTTACACAAAGCCATTATCTTGCGGTTTATTTTTACAAAATTGTGTATTATTTGCAATTCGTACTTCATTGAGTCTAGTAGTGAAAATTTCCAATGATTATTGTAGCATAATGAGTTTCCAACGCTGAATGGCTTGTATTATTCGAAAAAATTAACACGGGTACTGAACCCTCTCATATGGTACGTCTCTGGTTGATATAGCGAATTGTTGATAAAATAATAAGTAATAATCCTTTATTCTCTATACACATGTATATTATGAGTATTGAGTACCTATACACATCCTGTTGGGGTTATAACGACTTGGGCTCGGCACCAGATGCTCGGGTATAGGTACCTAACTATATTATAGTGACTGCCGTAAACGTACCCGTCACAGCAGAACCTATTAAAAAAAAAAAAAAAATTAATGCATCGCTGTGGCAGAATCGACCGACATCGGGTTTTAATAATAATTATATACGCACAGTGCACACGCGTATACGTACGATATTAATTTATGGTGTCTACAATGATGCGTATTTTTGGTATTATTATGCTGTTGTTGTTGTTGTTATCATTATTATTATGTTTTTAGTTAGTTTATTATTGTGCGACGCGTTCGTCGGAACGGAACGAATGGCGTGCAACCGGAGCGGCGGCCTGCACACGGTTACCACGGTTACCGGGCCCCGCGGTTCGGCAAAACAAAAAGAAAATAAATAGTAAAGCGACAGCGAAGCGTCAGTAATGTCAGTTATGTCGACACGATGTAACAATATGTGGTAACCGGCATAAGTGCGTATATTATAATAGTTATTGTATTCCTATCCGCAAAAGTCTCTTGCGGTCGGAGAAATGCAACTTTCCGAGTTCAGGTACACCGCGGTGCTGGTAGTCCAACTAACCCTGCTAGCCGTCGACCTGGTGTTCAACACGTTCATCCACAGGTACTTGGCCAACACGGGAATTTCGATATTGCTCTTCGTGTAAGTATACTATTGTAATCGCGAGAGAATTATCTTTTTTTTTTTTAAATTGTTATTCTATTAAAGAATTATCACTAGGCACATAAACAGTAAAGTGTTTAGGTACGGTGTACCTATTTGTAGACTAAAAAAAAAAAATCAAAACACTCCGCGTTTTAAATGGACCACTAGGTCCGATAGGTAATTTATTACTGTGTGTTTTGTTGGGATTTCTAGGATACCTAATGTTTGTTTATAATACAGTGAGTTCCGTTTATTGTAATCACACATTGGTTCAGGCCATTTTGATTCTATTAACCGGCTGATTCCATATAAAACATTTGGTTTTCTTTTTGATTATTCTATAATTATACGTATATATATACACATTAAGTATCTACGGCAAACCATTGCAAATTAAAGACGATTCTGAACAAAGTTCAATTAAACGTGTTTTGATAAATTTAAATTTAAAATGTCAGGTATATTTATTTGTAATAACAAAATAAATTTCATTCGTTTTTCACATAATTTTCATTTAGCCATTTAAGCACATACTTCTTTCCATTTATCTCTAACCAATGTCAACGCCTTGCAGTTTTTCATTGGTAACTTTGTAAGCTTTTCAAATCTTACTCAATTTTGTCCAGCCACTGCCGTTTAGATCCTACTATTAGTGGCTTGAGCCATTTTTCTTTGACGTTTCCAACGTAGCCGCGTAGGGTATTTTTTGCTATTAAGTTTGATCTCATTACATTACCTAATCGGTCAAACTAGTGCTGAGCACCAAATCCATATTCATCCGGATCACTCCTAATTGAAACAAACGTTACAACCCGTTTAATCCGGATTGGTATTTTCAATCCGGATTATGAAGATCTAAAATAGGTGGTTTATTTTTAAACGCTGCTTGTATTGTTATTTATTAAATTCCTACATAATAGTACAATTTACAGTTGAAATTTGAAATACGCTTATTGATAACGGTGTACAACACCGCGTCGTGCGGCCGGTTCTATTTAATTCTTTGATTAGCTCCAAAATCCAGATTAAACCGATTGAAACCCAATCGGGATTATGAAGTTGTCATCCGTATTCCGGAATTGGTCAAAGTATTACTCAGCACTAGTTCAAACTCGTATAGCCTTGGTTATATTTGGTTCTCCATAAGTACTGTACATTTCGTTTGGTCGTTATTTAGTGAAATTTAATAGGACTTCATTTTCGTTCTCCTAAAAATTTTAAACGAAAAATTGCATAGTGCCAATCAATTAAACGCACCTACATATTTATGTATTATTATGCGCAGACTTCAAGACATCGGTCAACTGGTCGCCATAGCAGTGCTCCTAATAACATTCTTTCAGACCAACATATTTCAGGTAACATCGTTTATACAAAAACATAATAATTATTTAAAAAATAAATAAACCTAATATAACTATACAAATAAAGACAAAAGACATTTATCCCGGAGTATAACTGGATTCGATTTTCGAAATCGTCATCAGATAGAGAGAAATAGGCATTAGCAAGGCCGTAAATGGAAACAAATTTCGGGAGGGGAGGGGTCCAATATTTTTTTTTAATATAGATACTGGACATTTATGGTTTTTACGTTAAAAGTATAAAACATCAATAAAATGATAAACTTTTCAAATTACTGCTTGAACGAAAATATAAAATTATTCTTTATACAATATTATTATAGCGAATAAACTGTATTAACTACCAGGATTTGTCTACTTTTTAAAAAAATTCTAGGAGGATGGGGTCCGGACCGTTGGATCCCTCGCCATTTACGGCCGCCTTGAGCAAGGATAATAATATAATAGAACAACAAAAACGAAATAAATAATAACAATACGCGATTGAATTCAAAACGAAACGAGGAATATCTATGAGAAAATACCACCTATTTGGTACCATTCTTTTACATAGAGAATAAACTTTGTTTAAAGATGGAAATTATTTTTTTTTTTATGGGAATGGGGGTAAAATTGTACAGTGCCCATTATAAAGAAACGAAATGGCATATACATGAGACGTGTTAATGTATTTTATTTTGTTGGGTTATTTTTAAAACCTTTACATTTTTAACCCTAGATAAACTTTTTTGGGACGGGAGAGGAAAGGGAATTCGACATACCTCAGAGCACCAATATTAATGTTTGGATTCTGCGTTTACGAGTTACGACCCATCTCACGCGTTTCGCTTAGACCTTCCACCTTTGAATAATATAATACTATTATTACCTATGATAGCTACACTTTATAGCTGATCAATGTATTTGCAGGCCGGTTTCATTGTCTTGCTGTTCAACGAGTTCCGGTCGACCATCATCACCGGTGTCGGCTACTTTTTGCTCACTTTATTCGTACAAGCCTGGACCCTGACCAACCGTTTTAAAGGTCACGTGTATTTCTATTGGCCGGACGGCCTTTACATATTTTTCGTTCTTCACAAATTCAGTAAGTCCAAAATCCAAATTACAAAACATTTGGTAATTTTTAATTAAATTGTACCTATTTATTTTATAAGTAAGGCAGATAGGAACTTAATTAACTAAAAGTAAGCGAATAATACGTTTAATAACTGTTTAGAAAAAATGATATATTAGTTCACAACAATAATAATAAGTTGCAGGTAAAAAAACTCATCACGCAAAATATCAATTACTGCATGTGCATGGGTATAATACAACAGTAATCAAATTAAATTCGCCAATTCACGTATAATGTATAAAACCTACCTGCATACTACATAATTTTATCATATCAATAATGGCTATGCTTTACATTGATACTTGTCTACGGTGTTACCCAACGATATAAAAGAACTCGGAAGCTCTGTAGTCTTCGCTCTTCAAATGTAATTACCTATTAATATAAATGCATTTTTTGTAAAACGAAAAAAAAATACTATAAAAGGTTTTCCGGCATATTCAGACTGTTATAGTGTTTTACAACGCGTTTTAAAAGTAGGAAGGCATTAACAAAAAAACGATCAATTTCATACAAAAAACACAGAATAAAACTAATACTACTAATGGTCGTGCCTGTACTGTTGTAATAGAGCAGTTGGGAAGGTAGGATATCTACATACACATTTATTAAATTTGTATCTATACGCAACGAAAAATCGCATTATTAAAGAAATACGAGTCTGAGCGAAGTACGATTTTGACATTTGTTTACGATTTTTTGTCAAAATTTTAATTTTAATATATATATAAAAAAAACTACTACAGTTACAATTTTTTTTAAGTTACGATTCCGGTGGTTTCCTAGGTAGGGTCGTTTACCTACTTCACTGGCCGCCCCTGTCTTAGATGGGTGCATTCTACTTCCGTCCCAAGTATAAAATTTGAATTTAAGGATATACTAGTTCTGTCCCGAGTTTTTAAAATGGTTATACTAATTCCGTCTCATGTTATTTATTTAGTTATACGAGTTCCATTCCATTTTGCATTTTCTACACTACATTAATCTAGCATACAATTTACGACTAAATAATCGAATTTATATACATAAATACTTTAATGTTATTTGAATTTTGTCTGTATTTTAAAATTGATAAGAATAATGTCAATGTAAATTATTTTTTTAGATCATATAAATTTAATCCAATAAAAAAATGTTATTTAAGAAAATCTATACTACGTTTGATTTTTTTTTGTTTATGTATTTTACATTAATAAGAACATTTTTAATCTGGACTGAATTGGTTTAAAAAGAGGTTATTGGGACGGAAATCGGATGCAGCCGTCTAGATAGCATGAGCCTTTCGTGACACTGGATATAAGTACCGTCATGGATTTATTCGCGGCATGAAACTTATAGGTGCTAATTTTCGTGTAACGGCGAGTGTAGGTACTGCCCGACCGAGGTTGTACCGGCGGGAGTTCGAAACTACGGGTTCGTCTCTCCGCGTGGTGAATCAGGAATTTTTCGCGCTCCGACCTTTTCGGGTTGCATCGCGGTATGTCCTCGGTTTGCTCAGGATTTAAACGGGCTTACGAGTTCCGTTAGGTAGGTATTGGTCAATAAGCAGGAGGCTTACCCACCTGACAGCGGATGAACTGTGAGCAGACGGCCAAACGAATTGGGGAATGGTTGCTGGGGCCACTCTTTGATGCATCGAATGCATCCAGGGTTTGCCCTTTGTCCCCGCTGACTCTTGACTTGCACTCAGTGCTAATAGGTTTGGCGGTGGTATCTTAACCTAAGGGTTTAAGGATTAAAATCAAGGGTGCCACTGCTTAATATTCGCAAAGAAATTAATGTAATACCAAAAGATGTTTTAGATCTTTTCATACAACAACCTAGGTGGTTAAAGTTTTCCCTACAATAATATACAAACTAAATTAATACATTATACCTAAATTATTTTTCTTTATTTTGTAATATTTTAACTGTTACAAATTTTTTTATAAATTGTAAATTAAATTATATTTTGAAATTTGTCATGTTGGAAAAATTCGAGTTATAGTTTATTTGAAGGCCTAACATCAAACCATAAATATTATGTTTACAAAATTAAAATGAAAAATGTTGAGCCCTCCTAAAAATTCTATACCGGCCACTGGCTCAAAGCTCTACTTATGCACATTCTAAATAACAAATATAGTGTCCCGGTGGTACATAAAAAAAATGTAAACAAATCTTTAATAATTATTCAATTTAATACAATATTCAAGTACAACCAATTATCTTGGTAACAAAAATTAATATTTTATAATTTATAATTTGATCGCATTTTGATACCGATTGTATCATTAAAAATATCTGTAACAAATATTTAAATATATAATGCAATTTGTTATGTTTTGATTACAGCATCGTGTTTGCACTATTACTTGTACAAAAGAACGGCTCTAAGTATATCAGATCCTAAGTTTTATACAGATGAATGGATTAACAATCGTATAAATCAAGAATCAGATCATCAAAGATCTAAATATTAATCAAAGTGAACTTATGTTAGAGACAAACAGATGAGAATTGCAAGTGTAATATTTGCCAAGGCGGATGGAACAGGATCAAAAAATAAATAATTTTATGTAAACATAAAATGTCCGCTTGAGACAATTGGCAATTAATCAAAATTACACAAAAACCGTATTCACATAATATAACATATTGATAATTATAAATTATTTTTATTGAAGCTAATGCCAAAAGAGAGGATATTATCTCTAAAAGCGTAACTATGAACTGTGGAAATAAATATTCACAGCTAATGCAATTTTTATTAAAACACATATAATTAAATAAATAATTCAGAATTTTAAACAAGTCACAATATCTATAAATACAATACTTTGATCTCGATTTTAATTAAATTTGTTTTTTTTTCATTTGGTCACCATCGTAGATTGGTACTAAATCCAATTAGCGTTCATGAAATAAGTTATAGTAATTTAGCTCTTTAGCTGTGCTAATAAAATATAATTTGTAAAAAATAAAAATAAAAGTACTCAACCCTCAAAACTAAAATAAAAAACTGAGTGTTAAATAGTTAAAAAAAAAAATGTAAGTATAAAATAAATTACATGAACTTCACCAAACTTTTGAATAATTTACAATAAATAATATTTTGTCAAATTCTAGACAGAAAAAGACCTACCTTTAAAATTTGGAAAATAAGTGCATATACATAATATATACATGTATCAATTATATGATTTAAGTTTAAAAAAAAAAAAATATAATAATAATAATAATAAAACAAAATTATTCACTGTCTTTTGATATTTTATTAAAGTAAAAATCACTGACTAAAGAAAAGTGATCAGATGGATAGGACATTGACGGTACTCTATTCTCACCGATATCTCGTTCTATTGGCATGTTTAATAAGCTACTGACAGTCAATTTATTTTTAGAGTAGAACATGTAGTCAATGGTGTGCATAACTTCCCCTTCACCTCCTCGAATTTTCCAAGAAGTGTAAGGTGGTTCCAAACCAGACACCTTGTATGCACTATCCAGTGGTAAATCTGGACAACTACACATTGTACTATAAACCGGTTCTGTGGGTTCAGCGTTAAAATCGCCACAGATAATTGTTGGACGATCACCCGCATAAGAAGATATAAATTGTAGTAGATCTTTCCCTTGTTCATTTCGCAAAGTGGATAACAATGCTCCTTTCCGAGCTTTAAGATGAGTCGTAGTAACACATAACTCTTGTCCCGTACACTTGTCTTTGAGTATTAATAATAAAGTTACCTATAGAAAAATTACAGAATACAAATATAATAACATGAAAACATTTATTTTCTCACTTAACTGTAGTTTACCTGATTGCTGTGCACTGTCCATACTTGTAAAATTTTATCGTGCTTTTCCAATAAATCAAACCTATTATTCTTGTAAAAAATTGCACATCCGTCGGGACCGTTATTGTCTTTTATGTATACACATGGCGAATCTGGTTTAGGTACGAATAAACCGCTATATGATTGTGTTGCTAAAGCTCTGCTAAGAAAATCAAAATGATCGACTTCCTATAAAATAATGATAAAATATAATCAAAATATTTTAAAAATGTATTAATTTTTTATTTTTACCTGTAAACAAATAACATCAGGGTTATGTCTTACGATTTCTTCAAGCATATGACACCGCCTTCGTTTCCATTCTAAAGCTTCTAACGGACAACAGTCAAATTTATCGTTATTTTGTCCCAATGCTTACATGAAAATAATAATATTACTGTTATTGTTACTATGGCAAAATGATTAGCTAAATTAATATTAATAATAAATTGTATTACCTTGAGACAAAACGTTCCATTGAAAAACTCTTACAGAGTCTCCTTGTACACTAGCCGAGTCTGAAAAATATAAATTATAATAATTATTGTTTATAAAAAATATAAGAAAAGTAGTATTCTTATTGTTATGTGTAAATAAATGAATTATATAAAATACAGTTTATATATTAAATACAAGTATATTGAATACATGTTATTAAATATACATATAGTCCAAGTATTTTATACTGAAAACAAAATTAAAATAATAAATAAAACAACCAAGTTTTAAATGAAAAATTTAATTTAATTAAATATGAGTTCTGAGAAATGGTTATAAATAAAATTAAATAAATCAATAAAAGGAAACTATATTTAATTTAAGTTTTAAGTTTTCTTAGTGATTATTTGTACCTTGTAAGTTTTTTTTTAAGTAATCAAAATATAACAAATAAAATATCAAATAGGCATCAATTGTTTCAAAATTATTAACAGACTTTAAAAAGTTCATACCAATCTATAAAATGTCTCAACATATTTATAAAATGCCATTTTAATTTATTTTTGGCTTTATTAGTAAGTTTCAATCATAAATTTTTGTATTTAACAGGAACAACAAAACTCTGTATAATTTGTTTTGAATACGTATCTAATACTAACCATGCGGAATCGTTTGAAATGTCCTTTTAATAAGTTGTGAATGAGGACATTGATCGTTATGCGTACGGCAATAGTCAAGTAATTGTTGAGATGTTGCTTGAGAGTCAAAGTTCAAATCTCTGTCTTGTGAATCTTCATTGTCTATTTTCACAGAAGACGTGAAGCTTCCCATCCTGAAAATATTTGTCAGTGTAAACATTGTGGTTACCTTATTGATTTGTGTTAATTTAATAAACTAAATATAATTTGAAAAAAATATTATGGTGTACAACAATAACGTTTCTATGGATTCTATCATTGGTTATGGATATTATAAAGTATTTATGACTTATCAATAATTCTACACATAGTACAATAGTTATAGTAATAAAAAAATGTGTAGAAAGGATTTTGTTTTAAATGCTACTCGGATTAACTGTTAGTCTCATCAAATAATAAGTTTCACTAGGGCAAATACTATAAATGACACTACAGGACAAGAAAAGCAGGACACATGTATGCTTTTCAAGCAATAAAATTATATCTAAAAGGAAATAGGAGCAGATAGTGAACAAGCTAAATTATGTATTTTTTTTTTTTTTCAGATTTTTATATTGTTTACAATTACCGTTGACTGTCGAGTGCCTATTATCATATAAAGTATTTAATTGGGATTATCAAAAAGAAAAGAAATGGCTGATCAATTCTAATTAATATCAAAATTAACAGATTCACTATGTATTGTAGGTCTAACTATCTTTAGGACGGTCATAAACCACTATTTCTATGTGCCTAAACAGTAAATACGCTAAAACACTAATATGATTATATGGGTATAATATGTCAGTCGCTTAAACATTACTTGTCGGGCACAGGCACAGATGTGTAAAACGGGCTCTTACCAAATATATTTTAACACTGTCGCCGTTCTCGTCTTGACAGACGATTTACTAGGGCGGCCGACACCAGTACTGTTGGAGCAGTAATACTTGCCCGGCCAAAGTTTTCGGGGTGTCGTGAGGATGGTGGTTCGGCGCATTATTGGCCTAATCATCGTGTGTACTTCCGACAAGCAAGTTGTAGGTAACCTACCACCTAGTACGAATACCGAAAAAACAGACCGACCGACGTCATGGTAAGCAAAATAACGAAAAGAAATGAAAAATTGGTAAACGTTTACTTTTCGGACCCGAACGAGGATGAGATTAGGACCTTGTCAAAAAATACGTACAGTGTTTCTCGTGTGAAATTCTCGGCGCACCGCAAGTAGTACATTATGATATTATAATATTGTTATTACTAAAACTGTGTCGAAGGCAAATGGCCAAATAAGAATATTTACGCCACGAATACGGTTGAAGACACAATAGTTTCCCCCTTGGGGGGGAACGTGTAATGTGCGCGCGCGCGCGCGCGCGATCGCTCTACAGCAATATTAAAGAATAGGTAATCGAAAAAAGAACACTGTTTATCGGAGCGCTAACGACGACGACTGACGCGATTGAGTAATGACGATTAATAACGACAAAGGGGAACAAAAATAACAATAATAATATCGAAAAGATTATCGGATATTATCAGTATTGGGCGGTTAAAACAACAACACGGTCCGGGGACGCGTAATCAGCGCGAGCACGTGATAACGCAGGCGGCGCTAGCGAATAGCCACGAACATTCGGGTCGGTACACGGTACAACAAGGTCATTAACGGTCATGTCCCGCGACCAGCCCGCTACCCGGCGGCCGCCCGCGAGTTTGTTGTTGTGGTTACCGACCTTTCCAACACGAGTCTCTTGTACCGCGGCCCGTGCAGTCGAACGAAATCGGCCGATGACGCCGCCGCCGCCACCGGAGTAGTCGACCAGTGCCGCCCGTCCGCGATGACCGGCGTGGACGGGAAAACGTAGTTTTCCGGCGACGACATGGTGTTTGTGTTACTGTCCCGACGACGACCCGGTCGCCGCGTCCGGAAAAACCGAAGACGAGCGAAAATCGCCGTGGCGAAAATAATGTACCGACGACGACTACGGGAACCGGAGAAAACCAGAGGTTTTTTTTACTCGGGGCCGGGTTTTAGGTACGACGACGGCGCGCGACGAAAAACCTATCGGCGAAAACGCCACGCCGACGACTCGCGTCCGCCGCCGACGCCGTGCGCGTTTTATACCTACGCGCGCCGCCACACGGATTCGCCACGGTTATGCAAATTCGACGTGTAAAATAACGCCTTTTTTAACATTTTTTTTTTTTTATTTTTTCTCAATTCTTGTCGCGTGCAGCTCGTTTTCTGTTCACACACACACTCACACACACACACACACACACACGCACGCATGCACGCTAATATACAGGATGATTTTTTCGACCCGGCGGTTTTGAGTAAATTCGATAACTGTATATCTTTTTTTTCCTTCGCGTCGTTACGGAATATTAACGCTGTTTTCACACGTTCACCGTTTTTTTTTTTAATACGGACACACCTCAAAAAATAGTAGGCATTGCGCATTATCAAACGGCAACCGCCCGTTTCCGAGGCGCATCAAAACGTGACGTTTTCGATGCGCCGTGACCCGCCGGACGGCATGGACCGTTTACGCGTTATTATAAATGCCACAATATTATCGTACAACGCATTTCCAGACGGGCGCGTAGCCGATGTCCGATGACCCATCGAACGCGCGTTTGTATTACGGGGCGCACGGGGACGTCGGGGGCAAAACGTCGAGAACGTGTTTTATTGTAAAACGAAAAACAAAAAAAATAAACCCGGGAATTTCGGTTTCACCCGAAACGCCTGCCCCGCGGGTGGATAAAATCACCTTGTATTGTTTACAACGCGTTACACGCTATTTTCGTACTCGCCGCCGCAGCCGCACGCACTTCGCATGCCTACGTCACGGTTCTTCTGGCGTGCGCGTGCGCGCGCTCGCCCGCGATGAAATAGGCGACGCCGTAGTGTGACAAAACAGAAAGCACAAAAAAAAAAAAAAAAAAAAAAAAAAAAAAAAAAATACTACGTACATGTGCCGCCCGTAACATTGTCAAGTTGACGGCGCGCCGTATCGCCAACGTCAATCTGGCACCCGCCGACAACAATGTGGTCGGTCGGTCGGGCGGCCGTCGTAACGCGTCGCGTGCCGCCGATTGTGCGCGCGGCCCCCGCCTCTACCTTCCGGATCGCCGGCCTACGCGCGGCCGAGTGGCGGTGGGGGGGTTGGGCGAGGGAGCGGAGGGAACCGCCTCGACCCGGTTAGGTTAGGTGAGGTTAGGTCGGGCCGCCGACACCGGTACAATACGCCTGTATTTATTATGTTCTAAATGTTATGCGCGTCTGTCTATAATAACAGGTACTCTATACGCGCGCGCGTCACCGACGATATTATTATTTTGTTTCCGTGCCCTGTCGCAGGGCGCTCTCTTTACGGACGCGTTGCGTTGCGTAAAGATGTCCACATCCGACATCGGGATAATAATATTAACTCGGGGGTGGCTCCGGAAACTCTACCCGTGAAATGTATCAACTTTTTTTGTATTTTCCAAAGCATTTTTCACTGTTCATTGCGCTCGTTTAATCTCATTCATTTCGTTTCACTAATATTTAATCACTGGGCTTTAAAACAATTTTGATCGTGTCGATGTACCTAATCGGCTTAATCTTCGCTTTCAATTAGATTCCGTTCAGTGCAGCTACTCCTCCCGTAACACTCCAAATACTCCCAGGTACGGGCCTGCGTGCGCTCACCGTGTTGCCGCCAGAAATCGCGTGTTCGGGCGGACATAATTAATAGCTAACGATACGCCCTGTCTGTGTCACCTTGGGTAAGTAAACATTTTTCGTGGTCTACGGTGGTGCGGCGGGAAAGTCGTCTGTCAGGGGAGACGTCGGTTTTAGTTTTACCAGTATGTACCTACCCATAAGACAATTAGTTATTACGCGTTCGATAATATTGGTATTATTTTTTTTTATTTTTTTTTGTAAATAGTGCCGGACTACTGATCGATAAGTTGAAATCTAATAATAAGTTTATAAACAATTAATTCGACATAACACACGGTTTTTTTTTAGGCCGTTGCTGTCACATTGTCACAAGTGCTATATCTTCGTCCGCATTTTTTTGCGATATTATTTTTAAAAAATAAATAGAATTTTAAAACGCCGACGAGATTATCCTCAAAATGTTATCGACTATTAATGGTAAACTGTATCTAAAGACTACAAACCCGATTTGAAATGCATGCACATGTAATTCGGGTAAAAATAAATAGTATCGAGCACCAGGCTACGTAATAACCCGAAAATAATTTTCCCAAACATTTTAAACACAATTTTTTTTAGGCCGTCCAAATAGTATCGTTCATCCGTAATACGCTGAGAAATGCCCGATTGTTTTGTTATACATCACCTTATACATCGTATACACGTCTGAACGGTTCAGAAATCCGCGGAGCGACTTCACCCGAAGAAACGTTTAAAAACGAAAATCACCAAAGTCGACAAGTCACATTATACGAGATTAGTTAACTTTCATATTATACGGAATTTAAAACATGATAACAATGTGTGAATAAAAATTTCTACTTTAACGGGGAGCCATTGTAATTAAATAATTACGGCCATACATTATATTAATAAATCATGTAATTTGCACATGCGGTATATAAAAAAAAAACTCCTGATTACATCAGTTCAAACGGTTGTGAAAATGAATAATAAACTATATAAAAATAGCAAAAATTTGAATCAAAAACATGAGATAACACTCGGCGCAATCGTATAAATTATGTAGTGAATCGGAGGTAAAAATTTAAGTTTAATTAAGGATAAAAGAATTTTATTTACACAGCAGCATTATTAAGTGTGACTGATGTGAGTTGCAAACACGAAGAACGTTTTTCAGATCCGAGGGGAACTTATAAAATTTGACCGTCTACCGAAAGGTTTCAGATTTTTTTCTGTGTAGGTAATCCTACTCGCCTATGTACTTATCAAGTTTATGGTCGGTTATAACTCGAAATCGACTCAACAATCGATTATTATTATTAATTATTCAATAATATATAATCCGAATTGTCTATGCATTGTAATTGTTTGTTTAAATCGAAAAATCATAGGTTTTATAGTGTACTAGGTACTATATATAAATACTCGTAAAATAAATATCGAGTACAACAGTGTCTTGCAACAACCTGTAACAAAATGTGCAGTTTTAATTGAACTACATAGGTGCATTGTGTAGTTATTAAAAAATGATTACGAATTATTCCTTCGATAATTAATAATTACAAGGATTAAGGCTTAAACGCACCAATAGTATTTTAATGTAGTGCGTGTTCCCTGAAGTGCCGAAATAACTCAACCAATATGAAATTGTTGCGATATGACGAAGAAAATTATTTTGATCTTTATTTCGTATAGTCAAGCTAGTAAGGGAGCCCGAGGAATCGGCCTCTCCCTCCGAAATTTTTAACAAAATGCCTCCAAAAATCATTGATTTTAATAAAATTCGTAAAGGCGAATTTTTTCAAACCATTGCTATGAAACAGGTATGCACAGTTCTAAAACGTTCTTATCCGTAGGCTCTAAAGTGCAATATAGTTTTATGTATAAAAAAAAAAATGTCAACTACGTTACCGCAGTATATTCATGAATACTGCACAACTGCCACCCCCTCCCCCTCCCCGAAAAAAGACAATCACATTATTATACGAAACAATCAAAACCAACCATTTAACCAAATTCGAGACACTGATTAATAACGGTCATACGGGTTCAGGGGAAATATAATCAAAAATACAAACTTGGAAGTATTCCGTATAACTGTATACGACCGTCCCGTTTTACTATGGCATTTAAAATGAAAAAGTTAATAAAAACAAAAAAATTTTAAAAATGAATTCTCAGACATCCGACAGACAAAATTTATAATCATATACCTATTATTTTATAAAAAATAATAAAGTAAAAACAAAATTATTAAAACGGTTAATACTCGTAAATAAATATATAAATAAACAATTTATACATAAAAATAGAATAAATAAATGAATCTATGCATCGCCTGGAGTATTATAATCAGTTTGAGTCGCGTTTTACATTTTGACGGTGATATACCTGGTGAATTTTTAATTCGAAATCGGTCGTATAATACACTTATCATAATACTCCGGGCGACGCATTGAATCATTTATTCATTTATTCGTGTATTTAAATTTTTTATTTATATATTTATTTACTATATTTGTTTATCTTATCTATTATTTTAGCTAAAAACTTGATTTTAAAAGAAAAAAAGGTTCAGTTTTGAATTTGTTTTGGGCTTACTCAGTCTCCACTATACTACAACTAGTTAAAGTAAAAATAGTTTACATTAAATATATTCACAGTTATCGCAGCAAACAGAAAATACTTATTTTTTGTATTTTTTTTTCCGCAAGAAAATGAACTTCTTGATCGTATCGGCGCATAATTATATAATAATATTGTTAACGAAATTTCACTAGATTCGTTTTATTTTTTTTTTTTTTATTTAGATTTTGAACTGCATGATCTTTTATTATGTTATAGCGGCAATACAAAACGAAGCGTCCAAATGGCTCGGTTAAAAGCACCTAGTTTTTTTGCATCCGAAATGAAAAAAAAAATATAATAATAAAAACAGTTATTTAGACACCACAATATGACAATATCTGTACAACGTAAACGCGTGCCCACGTTTTAGTATTTGAAATATTTATGACATGTATTATAACAATAGTACCGTACCAAACAGGTTAGATTGTTGATAAACTTGCTATCTATTATGAAACCGAAAATAGGCAGGTATTTCAAAATCGACTAACTTCTATTAAGATACCATATTGAATAGGTATCTTATGTTATGCGTGTACGTTAAACATATTATTCAAACGCCATCGTGAAAAAAAATGTCCATCAATTCTTAACGTTAACTATAATATATGTGTATCTGCATGAAAATTATTTATTAACATAGTTCAAGTGGGCGGAAACAAATCGTGTTTCTTTTATGTTCGAGGCCAAGGTTTTGAAAATATTAGTAAATACCCTAAAGCCCTTAATTCAAATAAACCGTTCTCTAAAACATAACGGTGTAAACCTTTTATACAAAAAACACCGAATACGTATCTACTATGACATTATTTGATGTTTAGGTAATCCTGAGCGTAGGGGAGAATGTATTGGTTTTATTATGGTGAATGGTAATTTTTTTTTCTCTTCTGTCTTTGTACAAATTTTCTATTAGAAATCACGCTCCAAACAAAAATCGAAAAGAAAGATTTTTTTTTGCAGCATTTATTTTGGACCATTAAAGTCGTTGAGGATGTATAGGGAAAACGGAACAATTTACGGCGAGGATGTGGCTTTAGAAGGTTTGAACTTCCATCCCCGATCCTTGCACCGGCCCCGTCTGCAGTTTATATGTTAAAAAATATCTCTAGAACTGTTTTACCTATTTTGATAAAACTTTTTTTATTCCGTTCATTATAATATTGTAAAAAGAAAAAAAAACATTAAATATTAGAACGGCAACAAGTAAACTGGGGGAAAATTCGATTTCAGTGACGGAGCTCAGCAGCTGTTGAGTTTTTGTTTTTTTTTTTTTTTTTGAAATAATAGAATGTAAGCACCTCTCAATGACAACACGATACCGAATATTATCGACTTAATTATATTACTGGTATAAGTGAATATAAAAGTACCTACATTCTACATAAAACTTAATTAATTTACCATCGACAAAACAATATACAAGTATTGAAAGACAATGACACTTCTACGTTAAAATAAATATAAAATAATATCTATTTTTATAAAATTAATAATAGTGTAGGGGGAACCATGACAATGAAAATCCCGACGGACACAACTATTGTACAACATAATGATATGCTTCTACGGCATTCTTTATTTGACATATATTATGGAAACCAACGAAAATAGTTAATAATAATTAATAACATAATACAAATGAAACACGAATTTATCAGCGGGTTATTTTTCGGGGTGTAAAAAGTATTTATTTACTATTATTACCGGTAGTTTAATAACGTAAATTACATTGACTTGGTAGAAACTGGAATAATTCCAAGAATACTGACACGTTCCCTAATACTATGACTTATAATAATGATAATATACAATAGTATAGGCAAATCAAAAGATTCAGACCTTCGATATTGTTAAAATTATAGCAAGTGCACACCAAATACCCGTCAACTATTAAAAACATATAACTCAAATCTTAGAAAATTGTTTGTAGTTTTTTTTTTTTTTTTTGTAAATATTATGTCACACAAATGCTAGATCTATTCAAACAAAATGATAATGTGATATTTTTGTTTGTTTTTGTTATTTTATGACGTTTTAACTTTTAAACCTTCAAGAACCGTCCACTTTAAAACTCCGTATTAGATATTTCATCAACTCTATTTTAGATTAATTCGGAACATATGAGTCACAACAAGCAGTGTCTCGATTTAGGCCTCAATGATTATTGCCAGAACCAGGACGAGACACTCAAATATTTTAATGATGTGTCATCCCCGATCCCCGTTTCAAAGCTATGTATACCTTTCGCATTGATTTGCAATATTGCATTGAGCTGTAATTTAAATACAATTGATGTTTCTAAAATGGAAATTGTTTTTAAAAGACATTAATGACTTTTTATGTATTGCCCATTGTAGTTTTAATTTTGGTGACTAGGTGTAAATGAGCAATTTATATTTAAATAAAATATTACATTTGAAGAAACTATAACATCATAGGTATAGATTATGTATTATCTGGTTATAATACAATAATAAACATTCAAAAACTATTATTATTACTATAATATACTCGTCGGCCAAACGTTGAAATGTAACACCAATGCAACATAAATATTATAACCACTAACTAGTAACCACCTATAATTATTATGACTGGTAATATCTGTTCATATATAGGCAATTCAAAATGGTGGATTTAGTTTGTTTTCTATTATGTTTTCAATGTCAAATTGTCTTTAAAAATAATGTCTGTCATGACTCATGACGAAAGCAGATAAATCTTGCAGTTTATGAAATTTACAAATATTGATTTATTTTTTTTTTTGGCAATAACGCTAAAATTATAACAGACTAATTCTAACGACTCGGTGTATATTTTCATCAAGGCAAAACGTTTTATGTCTTTAACTTTCCTACTTTTTTTTATATATCAAGGTCTGCTAATTTAGTTTCATAAAAATGTATAACAACATTTAAGCTTTTTATACACGAATAAAGAGTAAAATCATAAATTATATATTCAGAATGTACGAGTAATATAATTATAATATTGAACAACTATATTCAAATAGATTTATTTATGGATATATTAAATTTGACATTTTATTTATGTAGGTAATGAAATTGAATAGGTATGGATTTTCGAATGAAACGTTTTAGTAGTGTAATAAGTAACTTGAAAAATAATAAACTATGTGCCATTATTTCTACACTCGAATACATAATTTATGCAATGTAGATATTTAAGTACTTATCTACTTTAAAAATGAATACTAACTGTAAAGTGATCCTAGCAAGATTATACCACGTATGGAATATCTAATAAAATAGGTTAATATCATAGACATTTAACTTTTTTCTTAATACCAACTCGTTTTGTGATATCAAATTAATTTAATATAATTATTGGCACGTATGACTACCATGGCCGTTTATCTTGAACGAAAACCAAATACTTATCAATTTAATAGAATAATTATTATTTAAAACTTACAGAATTATATCCATTGATAAATGCGCACTAATATTGCACCAACAGTATTCCACTAATAAAATGTGTACAATTTATTGTGAATTGAAACTATGAAAGAAGTGGTTCTGCGCTTGTTTTACCACTGATGATTTGTGTCAACATAAAATCTATACAATTTTATCATAAGGGTCAAAGACGTGTTGCGGTCATGTGTAAGGTTTCAATTAAATTAATTGTTTTATTGTCTATTAAGTTGGAATTCAATAGAATTACTATTACTACAACTACTAAATGAACTGTTTAAAAGACAATCTTAATCAGAAAACTGAATTTGATTGCTACAAATTCAATAACGAGGTCTATCCTCAATAATTTATGTACTGTAAGTTAAGTATGCAGTACACTAAATAAGTATTATTTTTTTATTATTATTTTTATTTACCTAGAATTGGTGCTAATTATTATTTTTAAAGAAATTTCTATTCGAGAATTATATTAATTTACATAATATTTTAATAACTTATAAATGATAATATAGCTAAGACATTTTAAAATCGATTCAGCAAATTAAAAATTTAAATTATTATGAATTCAAACTCAATTAAAACATTAGATACTCAAGTAAATTAAAAATATTGCATTTTTTTTCAATTATTAAAAAATATTACATTTTTTTCAATAAGGTTTCATAGGTATTCAATTAAATAGGACAATAAAAAGACAATTTTCGTTAGGTATGTATTCATATTTTAGCTACTTCATAATTGTAAACACATAATTGTTTATTTTAATTGTATTTAAACAATTGAAAGTTATATATAAAACGAATTTTAGAGTGGTAAATTTAGTGAGAATAAAATTAATTTTAAATATCAAAAATATATTGGGTACCTAATGAATTTTAAAAGGGAAAAAATATAGTACCAAAAACCTACTTACTTTAAAAATAAAATGTACCAAATTAATATAAATGGCTTGAATTCAAATTTTATTATTTTTAATAAAACCGTTAAACGTTAAAATCTATACTCACTTTGAAATATGCTAAATGTATGCAAAATGCCCATAAATCATAATTTAATGTGTAATTAAATTTTTTTTATTTTAGTGTTTAATAACTAGTTCTAGGTACAAGTAAAAAAACAGTACCTGGTTTTATGTACTTTATATTGGATAATTATTATGAATATTAAATTACATACAATTAATAGGTAACAATTAAATTAAAAAATGTCGAAATAAGTTGAAATTCAATTTAAAATTACGTGCATATATGTCTGTTAATTTGAATTTGCTTAGTTATTGCGCCCTCGAAATTCGTAAACAAGTTATTTATTATAATAAAATAAATTCTTAAAAATTTAAAAAAAAAATTGAAATATATAGGCTAAAAATGCCGTATTCTCGACATTTTATGAACCTTATTTTTTGAAAAATTAACTACAGTTTTATAGAATAAATGAAAAAACAAATCTGTTATAGTTTAAAACTCTTAACTCTGTTTATTAATAAATCAATAACGAAATATTACAAAATATCTTATCAATATTTTATTACTTTACTCGATTAAAGTATAAGTATAATACCTATATGTAATCATTTCAAAAAGAATATCACTGCGGGTATAATAATTACAGAATATATCAAAACGCGTAACGAAAAAAAACGTTTTGAAATACCCTGTTTTTTTTTTAAGATACATTTAAGAAACTTTAATTTTTTTTTTTTAACCAAAATAATTATATTTACATACATTTAAAAATACGAGTAGATACGCGTGATGCAATAGTTTTTACGGTTCCCATTAAAATTTGAAATTAAGCTCTTATTAAAAAATAATACAACATAGCCCATAATTTTTTTTTCGTGATGTCGTAGTAATTATACTTAAAATAAAATATTAAATTTTTTAATATTTTTGTTCGGTCAGAACAAAAATTTCAAATACCTACATAAATTGTTTAAAAATTTTCAGAATGTTTAGATAGTTTTATTACCTTTAAAATTGACTAGTATAAGTATTTCGAGAAATTTTGAACGGAATTAAAACAAAAAAAACTAAATCTAAAATATAATGAAACCATTTATTGCATAATTTTTTCCATTTTTTTAGGTTTTCCTCAATTCAAAAATAATTACCCCTATGTACCAATTAAATAAAGTTTTCTTTAAGAAAATATTCTACACTTGATGATCGGAATAAGATTTTTGGTAGAAAATTAGCTAACAGATACAAAAAAAAAAATTGTTTAAATTATGTATGAGAAGTATGGGTGAGGTACGAGTGTGTCAATAATATATATGAGATGGTGTCACTGCGGACACTTCGATCAATCAAATGAATAACAACAAATTAGTTTAATGTAAATAATCAAAAATAATAATTGTTTCTGTCGACCTCTTAATATATTAAGAGTCACGTCTTGTTTAAACTGTTGTTTTTAAGCTAATATAATAAATAATAATATTTTTAATAATGAAAATTAATATTATTTTAAGCATCGCCTTGACAGTTCATACCTAAAGCTTATGTAGAGTTTCCCACGGAGATCTGACAAATGCAATAACTTTTGTTCTATTATCGACTAAATAATTAAATGCAATATTAAATTATATGTTATAATATATATTATTAATTATTATTGTTATTAAATTATATATTATTTAAGTATATTAAATTTGTCTTTTTTTTATAATAATTACTAAATTCTTGGGCTATATTTATTTTTTAAAACTAAAAATACAATTTTTTTACAAATTCTAAAATGACCACTTTATTATTATAGATTTAAAAATAAAAAAATGGTACTACAAATGTTTATTAATGATGCGTCGTTAATTTTCAACTATTTTTTGAAGTTTACGACAATTTAAGTAAATTGTTTTCATTGCCAATACTAAATAATATAATCAATCGATTCACTAATTTATCCACGATAAAAAATTATTGTAAAGTTTAAAAAATTGTAGACAATTAACGATTCATCATTGGTAAACATTTTTGTTTTAAAATATATATGTATACAATGATTATTGGAAAAAAATGTTTTCTAAACATTTGAATTTATTGTTTTTAATTTCAAAGAACATATAGCTGAATAATATATGTAATATAATGTATATAATGTATATATAATAATAGTTGAAGAATCATTGCGCAAGCAAAAGTTATTACATTCGTCAAATTCCCGCGAAACGCCCGGTACCTTAACCTAATAATTGGGTATGGTCGACTCGAATATTATACTGCCGGGCGTGGATATATTATAACAAAAAAAAATAATCAATTTCTAAACTTACCGAACCAAGTACAGAAGCAATTCCCTGGGAGGTTCGTAGGGTTGGCCCGGTATGACCGTGTATCCCAGTTCCACGCTTCTGGCCTGTAAACGTCTTCGGGCAGCTGGTGGCGTCATTAGACTGACGCTGGCCAGCGTCTCTGCTAATTCCAGTGATTTTTTGATCGCGGACAAATCGTAACGGCACGACGAAGATTCCATTTTTAATGCGTTCTTGAGAAACAAACGAAAACGAATAAAATATTACAACGCAGGTGACAATAATTGTTGAAACAAGTTGAGAAATCCTACTCTACGAGTTTGCTAAGTTCCTGGTTTCTACAAACGTATTGCAAACAACAAACTATAATATCAATTTAAAATTTTCGACAGATTTCGTAACCTCGTCGTATATTTGTTTTACTTATGTGTAGAAATCTAAATAGATAAACTAAATAAACTATTCACATCCTAGTTCGGAAATAGTCGACCGGACATTAATAAATTTCTCAACTCACCTAGTATTCTAATATTTCGGTATCAATTTTTCAATATTGGATAGTATGGATTTATATTTAATATTGATATTTCAATTAAAATTGTAATAATATGTACTCTAACAACTATACGCACGGACACAACTTGGACATAGAGTGTTCCGAAGTCGTGTTTAGAAATCTAAAAGAAAAAAAAAATTCACTCCGTCCACTCACCAAATAACATGGACGGGTTCGAGTATTAGTGTGTACCGCTGAAGACGCGCCGCTGAAGTGACGTCGGCGGACAAGAACGATAATGTGGGCTGAAGGAGAGACTTATAACAACAGCGGTCGCGCTGTTTTCGGACACATACTAAATAATTACAAGTAGGTAGGTAAGTATACTTAATAATAATATTATGACGGCGTGTAGTAGGTATATGCGCATAGTAATTATTAATTTCAGTGATAAACAATAATATTATAATAAACCGAAAACGTATAATATTATATACGTAACGATAAAGGGCTATAAAAAAAAAAAATGAATAATTACCGTCCGTACGATACCGTGAGAAACCGCCGCGGCGTGCACGTTGCGAAATATTTTGCAGCGTATTGTCCGAGTTGAAAAAAACCGTATTAAAACAGTATATATAATTGTGTTTCTCGCGCGCTTATTGTTGGTTGTTTTATCTTTTTCTTTTTTTCTTTTTTTTTTTCAAAAACACGAGAGCTCCGCTTGTCGCGTGTGGGTATACAAGACGCGTGTGTGTGTGTGTGTGTGTGTTTGTGGCACAGCACCGCCGGTCGTTCGGTACCTATCTAAACGGCGAGCGGCGGCTATTTTTCCATCAGTCAGGAAGTCGTACGGTACGATAACTGTGTTGAACGGTCGCCGTCTCGGCCCGAAGAGACTTCAATGCCGAGGTCAATCCATAATAAAAATTATACCCGCGGCCGGCCTTCCAATAATACACTCCGCTCTCGCGCGGTTCGCTTTGGTACCGCCGCCGCGCGTTAACATTCACCGGTGTCACGTGACCGCACCGCAGAGATAATATTATTATGTATAACAGTCGCGGTGGTGCATATTATAATATCGTAATGTGCACATACAGGGCGATTTTTGTTTTTTTTTTTTTCTCTCTATCTCTAACCGCGCTTGTCCCGTTTCTACGGTTAGATTATTACACTGCGGACACAGATTTCCGGAATTTTCGAACGTACCGTAAAGGCGGCGTTTTCGCCGGAACAGCCCGCTCGCGCACCCATGGCCCATTTGCGGCTGAAATATTGTTTAATGAAAACGCGTAAAAACCGCGCAACATTGCCGACCTGTGCGCCGGAATACGACGCAACGTTACTATAATTGCGGACTAACGTTTTGTCGCGCTATTTTTTAGGTTTTACGTTACACCCTTATGGATATTAACCAATTTTATCTTAACAATATTGCACTTCATGACAGTTCTTCCTGTGAACGCGTTGTGCAACTACGTTACACAAATTACAAAACACGAGTTTCGCGCGTATAAAAATAGATTTTAAAATAGCACGTACTACTAAGAACCGTTAACGTTTGATTTTTCGTTAACTTTAAATTCCACTTCGGCGGAAATTTGGTTTCGGAAGATATAAGTGGGCGTCGAGTTTAAAAAAAAAAAAACTGTAGCGCGTATGTGATTAAAATAATAATCACGGAAGCAACGTTGTATGCAAATTCGGCGCATATGGGCTATACATTGGCGGGTATAGTACCTTATCTTTCGGGTGTATCTGTCCACATCCCTTGGGGCGCAAATAGGCTACTCTGGGGCGCAAATGCGAACGCTGTAGCCGTTTTCCCGTAGTATTTCAGATTTCTCGCGATGTTCGTGCGGCGGTATCCCGTGCAGGCGATACCGCCGCTTTGGTTTTCAGCGAACGGGAACCTACCACGCGTTTCGACGTTTTCATACGAGTGCATTTATTGTACCTAATCGGTAGAACGGATAGAACGGAGAGTTTCCGAATTATTCCACATTGAATATATTAGCTCTAGTATAGTATTTTATAAAAGTGTTTATTGCTGGATTCCGACCACTTCGTAAGAGTGGCATGTAGACGATTTCTTGTTTTAAATCGTGCGGTTATCGAAAGGCCGATTTTATGTTATTATCCTGTATATTTTCACCGATACTCTTCGTGGGGTTCGGGGCACTTATAGAACTTAAAGTGAAAAAAAACCGTTTAAAAACATCGTCATAAACCCTCAAAAAACTCAACGATCCCATAAAGCGATTAAAAAAAAATTTGAAAAAGCGAGAAAAAAACGAGTTAGGAAAGCACACTCTACGAGCGTGTAAAGCTCCCCCCGGTTTTCAAGCATGTAACTATTTTAAACGAAAAATTATAATTTCGAATATAATTTTGAAAAATTTTTATTTTAGTATGTATATAGTATACTTATGTTTAGAAATACTTAAATAAATTAAATTTTTTTTTTTACTCGACAAAAGGAAAAAAAAAATAACTTCATAATTCGTATTAAAATTGATATTGTTACAGGATTTCTGAATTCGTAACTATATAGAGTATAGCTATTTTTTGAAGATTACAAAATTTAATTTGTTGTCATTTTTAAACACGAATTTCGTCAAAAAAAGCGATTATCGATAAAAAAAAAAAAATTGATATTGTTATTGTTTATTTTTATGTCAAAAATATCTTCAAAATGTTAATTTTAAGTTATAATATAGTAACATACATGCTTTACATTTTATTTCATGCAATGTGTTTGTTAAAAACAAAAATGAATAATTATTACACGAATTAAACGTTCAACAAATGTATGTATTTCTAAATAGGTATATAATATATACCTATTGTAAAAATGTTTGACTACCATGTTGTTTAATAATAATGTTAAAATTACGTCCTATTTATGTTTTTTACAAATAAAACCTAACAAGAAGGTACGCATATGGGTACGTGTACCTACTCTTGGGGTATGAGGCACCTACTCTTCTTCTTCTTTGGCTTTATTCCAGCTATTTGGGATCGACCATCCTAGTCCTAGAACTTCCACGTGACTCAATCTCCCACCTCGCATACACTGACTGTCCTTGAGTGTCCTCGTGTCATTCTCAATCGCATACAACCACCCCTCTTCGGTCTTTCTCTTCCTCTTTTTCCTCCTACGTTAATTTGCATTGACATTGTTACTACTTTTGATTATTCTCTCCACATGGCATGCTCAAACTATTAATCAGTTCATTGTCTCTCATTTTTCTATTATTGAATCCTCTACTCGTAACCTTGTTGTAATTCTTTTATATATTAAATATTCCCATTTTTCCCCATTATTGTGGAGAAAATTCGAATGGATTTTCAAAAAAATGTTTCTGAAGTACCGACTAGGCCCAAATCACTACCTACATGAAAGCTTCTATAAGAAGCTTTTGGTCGGAGACTTCTGGATGAAAATTTGTTCACGGACGGACAAACCGAAAAATCACCATAATAGTGTAAAACCAATAATCACGAGCCACGCTCAGAATCTAAAAATCGGCGGATTAAGGACGAAACTCTGAAACCACGCTTTCAATGATTTTATAATGTTTAGTATTGTAATTGGCGAGACTATTTTTAACTAGAAAGTGTAACTTACTTAAATTAAAGTTATCAAATGCACTGTGCATATTGTTTTAACCTTTTAAGATTGAACTATCCTACAGGATCAGAAGATGTGGTTAAATACAGAGTTAAAAACTGGTTACGCTCGGTACGAACCCGGAACAAATATAAAAAATATCATAATTAATCAATAATAATATTTCGTAGTAGGTAGTTTTGTATAGTGAGTTATAATTTATATAGGTTTTTTTTTTTTTGTGATTTAACAATTTGCATTTTATATTATTGTTAAAATAATTAAAAACAGCTTAACTAACAATCCGAACCATAGTCACAGTACCCGACAAGAATTTGTTCTTAAATACTCGTATCTTATATTATGTTTTTATGTTTTAAAATTTAAATGTACATTAATGAATGAGTACTTGAAAAAAAAATTCTACGCGCATATTTTCTCATACCTACGGTTTACAAATGTATTAGGTACGTGAACGACAAATAATCGTTAATATAATATTTTGTTGAGTACCTATAATCTTTCATCTATACTATATAAGAACGAACATAATATGTGTGTTTGTCCTTTATGCATTACCACACCATTAATCCGATCGACATGAAACTTTAGGAAGTTGTTCCACGTTGTCCGAACAAGGTTTATAATATATTATAAATTATTTATTGAATAAGTACCCCGTATTGAATACCATTCCCTAAAATTCTGTTTTTAGCTATTTTTAGCATAAAAATATGATTATTGTTGTTGATTTATGTGGGTTGCCTTGGTGCTTGGTAACACGGACGGAAAAAAAAATTATTATTGATTTTTGTAGTGCCAATCCCTGTGTTGTGCGGGTGTCTATGGCAAACGGTTTTAATGACAATTTATCTATTAACTTTATTTAGAAACTTTTTAGTTGCACGGGCAAAGTCGGGCGGAACAGCGTGTACCTAATACCTATTAAATACACTAACATTTATACATTATTTACCGACCGATTCGTTTACTATGACCAGTTATCTATTTATAGCCCTATAGGTACTCACCATAGTTCATATTATAGGCAAATATTTAATACGTATAGTATCTATATAATGTATAGACCCGTAAACAGTCAACAGGTCTTAATGTTAATTGTTATGTTGGTAAGTGGTAACCTCGCGTATAGCCCGTTATCTAAAATAACACGTACTTAGGTATACGCGTATGTCTGATAAACGATTCGAATACTGCACTTTTCCCGATAAAAAAAAAAAAAATAAATTTATGGACAGACATTGATTTCACGGCACGGTGCGATTAAATACAAGTGATTATCTCACGGCCGATTATTTCATAGCGGTGCATACAAGTCGTTATTACAATATTATTACTACAATATATATACATACAGGTACCTACTTCGGACAGCAAGATAATCACCATACGAGTATATTATATTGACACGCCACAACAATAGGAATAATTGTAATAAAAGCGAAATTAGACGCGTATAATATAAAACAATTCAAAAACATTCAATGCCTATAAATAACTCGAAAATCGCCAAATTGTTTTAACATTTTACCACGTCTATTTAAAATTTTAATATACGTGTTCTCTGAAATTGTCAAGTCTCTACGGTTATTACAACAAAAATAAATATAAATTCGAAATAATGAAACCGTAATTTACCGTAATTTTTTCGTTTTTGTTACGTTCTATCCCCAATTGTTCTCAATTGTTAAGAAATTGACAAGGCAAATCAAAAAAGAGACGGACATACTTTGCACGATGGGTGGGCCGCTGTTGTAGATGAGAAGTTGAGAAGGTGGAGGAAAAATTGAATGTATATCTGTACGCAACGATTAGCCATTGCCAACGAAAAAACGATTCTGAGTGGACGTCGGATAATAGCATTGCTTTGTCAACAATATATGAGTATATGCCATATTATAGTAAAATAATTACACATGCATTATATATTTTCTTTAATGATATCTGTTTAATATTGTACCTATTTTCCTGCATTTTTTCATAGTTTTTTCCCGTTTATTATGAAAACAGCTGGGAAAATGAAAAAATTACCTGTCTTAAGTACCGCCCCAGTCAACATTTCTATCAGAATAAGTGTTATCATTATAAACCGGAGCAAAATTACTAGTAGAAAAGTTGTTCGTAGATTAAAAAAAAAATTACAATAAATATTAATGTAAACCCAATATATTCTTCGTTCTGCTCAGAAACTAAAATGACTTCCTAGTGGCACCAACTAGATCCGAAATACTAGAAAAAAGCTCTGTTATTGTTTTCTGATTGGGACTAAATTACTGATAGAAAAGTTGTTGACTGACCAAAAAAAGAAAAACGTATTGTATATTATAGTAGACTCCAAAACTAGTGAACTCCAAATGGTTATGAAATATAATTGAAAAATCGCCAGAATGTTTGACAATTTGCCACGTATTTCGCTGTTTATTCAGTGAAAACCTCAGGAAAATCATATCGTATTTATATTTTATTAAACGAGAATAGTTTAAACTATCTGTCACTATCTAAGACTGCATTTTAGTTATTTATCTTTCAAACACCACATACAGGAGGTACTATAAGTCTAGAAAAGTCTACGTGAACGAAGTCGCGGATAATAGCTAGTTATTGAATAAATACTCATAGTTATATTCATTGGGCACCGACTAGCCTTGCACCCTATTTTCTTCATGTTATAACCGACAGCAGTGAGGAACCTTCCTCCTCTTGCGCTCACCGGATATTATGACTGCAAGTCGTTTTTGACGAACGCACGATTTCTTCGTTTATGCAATTAATTCGCATATTATAAAAAATACACCCGCAACAATAAATTATTAATTACGTAGAGCCTTAAAGAGCGTGCGAAAAAACGCGAAATTAAAAAAAATGTATACACTCTTCTCCCAAGCGTTTTTACGCTGTGAGCTGTATAGCAAATTGTTCTCCAAATAAAATTGTATACAATGAAACAATACCTGTTACGTAGGGAGATTTAAAATCACGGGGGCACTGTATAGGTGTGCGCATAATTATTATTTCTCATACTGGCGAATAAGCTACTCTTGGTGTTAACAAATGCCTAAGTAAATAGTATAATACGGCGAGGGAAATGTTCTTGGCCATATGTACAGATAGGCGCGTAGATGCACGTTTTACAAAAGGAAAAAATCACAAATTAGTTTTAATTATTTGTTCCGACACGCGCATTGAAAGTTTGGTAAAGTGATAAATTAGATAGACATAAACTGATACCGGACGCGAGTTTTCATAACAGGCGATTTAATACGTTTATTATCTGGCCCGCGTTAAAATAATGACTGAGAATTCCAAACAGTACAGCTAGGTACCCTCTGCACACAATACCTGCCTATACCCAACGTAAATGGATGAAAAAAAAATATTAAAAAAATAACCGGTTCCGAATGTTTCGCGGTAATTCATAAATTATAGAGTAAGCAGATATAATTTATATAAGTAATCACTAATTTGTCTATAACAAGTACTGACGTAATGTAAATTAATTATCATTGTCCATTCTGTTCGTATACCTATAACCCCACTTACGGTTTTCGTGTCTTTTATGTCTGTGTTTGGCAACACGGACCTAATACGCGACTTAACCGTAAACCGCCACTGTATTGAGGCGGATAAAAGCCACAGGGTTTTGTACACGCATTTAGACCAATAAGCTGGAGTAAAATAAACACGCTCCCAGCAGTCCAATAACTTCTGTTTTGAAAAATGGTTTCACTTCGTATAAGTTATTTTCTGTGTTCGGTAGGACAAATTTTCACACATCTTTTTTCGTGATACTCAAAATACGGATTACATTTAAGAAAAAAAATAATAGGTAGATACACACACAGCGATGTACGTAAATTAACTAAATGAACTATATGAAAAAAAAAACTAATAAATGTTGTTACCAACAAAATGAAATCGATAAATTAAAATGTATTTTCAAAACTAAAATTCGGTGACCGGTAAATGGGGCGAATTTTACTCAAGATTATTCGTCCAGAACGCAATATTCGACTGTAAAAACTGCCGTAAACCTTGCCCTTAAATCGAAATCGGGCAGTACATCGGCGTTTCCAGTCGTCAAAAATTAACGTTTCCGAAAGCCCCGCGGATTAAAAACTAAACCGAACGCGCCAACCGGAATAATGCGATGTTTACGTTTTTCTGCTTTCTCGATTATAATATATAATATTGAATGAGAAAAAAAAAAAATAGCGAAAATTTTATATTTTACGTACTTGGACAATATTCCGTCCGATCGCGCGTCGACTATTACGCGTATCGGTTTCTTTAATCGAACACAGATCCATGCTGAATGATCGACGAATAGTTTTCGTTGCGAACGGTCGCCGATCGTACCGAACAAGAGCAACGCGGTTGGTGATAATAATAAAAGTGCGAGTGAAACGAACGAACAATCGTGTAAACGGGTTCCGATTGCGACGGTCGGTGGATTGTTACTGGAAAAAATAATACGAACAGAAATAATAAATACCCGGTGCACGATTTAAAATTGGTTTCGGAGAGTTTCAACGGTAGAGTCAAAGGTTTCCCCATTGGACTTATTTTTATATTAATGTCGATCGGTCCATTAAGATAACGGTGTGCAAATTTTGCGCAACACTTGTTGATAATATATCGTGTTGATGATAAAACTGGGTAAATGTATTCTCTGGTACCTACAGACTGCATAGTTCACTGTTTATTTGTTTGCGTACAACATCTAATTTAGAAAGACAATAATATTGTTATCATGTCTAATAACGGTTTTATTTATTCATGATAGGCGTATACACTAACACTGATTTAGTTAATTACTGAAAAATAACACTAGTTCATAACATTAATACGGCTTGACTGTGTGAATTTAACGCACTATGACGAAATAAAAAAAAATAAATAAACAGCATGAAGTACGATTGAAATAATTCAACAAATATAGTACCGCGTAAACAACGTAGTTCACTACCTGTATATTGATAAAAAAAAAAAAAAAAAAAAAAAAGAGCTGATAATGAGGATTGGTGCGGCCACCGTTGTTAGGCGAGTAGTTAAAAAGGAATTTATATTGTGAGCAGGAAATACGAATTATTCGTTAAGTGAGGCGTGGGGGCTACACCCCTACACCCCCACAATAACAATAGATAATAGAATGAGTACCTGTACTTTGAAAACGGTGCTAGGGTTCGTGATATTAGCTTTTGCGTCCGTTCCGATAACAATGAGAATTTCAGAGTTCCGGTTCGTAAAACTATTACCCAAATCGATAAGTTAATATTGAAGAATTAATTATGACAATCGCCTCTCGGTAAGGTCATGTTTCCGACCACACCGCAATCAAGGGGATTGAAATAATTGATAATAGTCCGTATAGGTATGGTGAATCGAATTTTCATTTTACAAATCTGCAATAATAAAACGATACCTACATGGGCAGCGCTCGAAATAATAATTATTGTTGTCGTATTCTCCAAACACGTACCGTTTTATTGTGTCCGGTGTCGATGTACAACGTTATCGCAAAAACTTAATCGTTATTATTATCGACACCTATCTAAACAACCCGGTTCTTGGAATTCGGCCTACGGACTTTCTGTACCTGATCATTTTGATTGGGAAAGCACGAAAGTCTAATATTCAGTTTATTGAAAAATACTCATCTCCTTTGTGTACCGTTCAAATATTTGTTTACGATGGAGGTGAAAAAAAAAAAAGGCGTTCTCTATATAATTAACCGTCGTATGGCACATGAATTTCGTAAGCATTGCCGTTCCGTAGAATTGTCCATTTCGAGCACTGAATATTTGAAAAACATTTCGTCAGAACAGTAATTTAGCCGCAAATTATATTTGAGTAACCGTTTTGTATTAATAATCGTAACGTTATCGTAATAATATCTTCCCAACCGTATGTGTGACTCTCTATGGGGGTTTCGTCTTGGAGCAACGGTCCCTGCGCCATTAGATATATATATGTATATATATTTATACGAGGGCTAATCAAAAAGTATCGAGACTGATAATATTACTCGGAAACCGAGCGTTGAAGAGCAAAACGATTTGTAAACCTAGCTTCTATGACTTATACCGAGCACATCTATTCGTATACAATTTCTATAAACTTCTCCGTTTTGATTTGACGATATTCTTCTAAAATTTGCTTTTCACGTTTGGCGATTTCGTAATGAATCCAAAAGAAACGGAACTCGCTGCCGTTCGAGGGCACATTTTCAGTTTTTCAATTGACATTTAATGGCAAAAACCATGAAATGTTGCGTACCTCCGAAACTGGAAAAAAATGCAGACAAATTTTCTAAAATCTCCAAATCTGTCAAGTTACTCTTCTCTTGGGTTTATTACAAAATCGCCAAACTCGAAAAATATATTTTACAAAAATATCAGTGAAATCAATCTGTAGCAATAAAAACAAATGTACTCAGAAAAAGTCATAGAAGCAAGTGATTATGTAATTATATGTTTTCTGTGTTTGAAATGCAAAAAAGGGGTCATGTCCAACAATTTAAAATGGTTGCCAATGGTCAAATTAATTTTTACTTACCTATGCTCTAGTTTTCTAGTTTTATTAAAAGTGAACCTGTATTTTGTATATTTTCAGGATTTGATGAATGTATCTAAAGATGTATTACAGTCAGAATTAGAAGTGGCAAAGAATTGTATATTGCAGTCTACTGATGAAAATTGTATAACTTTAAATGATGTGAAAAAGGTTTTAATAAAACAGAATTTCCCTAATTTATATAAACTATTTTAAGTTGCTTTAACAATTCCCATAAGTTCCTCCACTTGTGAAAAGAGTTTTTCGGACATGCGTTGAATAAAAACTTGGCTTCAAACTTCTATGCTGTAGGAAAGGTTCAACAACACCTCAATATTATATATTGAAAAAAAAAATTCTAAATCTATTAATACTGAAACAATTGTTAATATATTTGCACAAAAAAATAGATATATACAATTAAAAAAAAAAAAATTTAGTAGCTATTCAATATTTTATTTTTTTATGTTCCTATTACCTATATATATATATATATATATTTATTTGGTGCCTCAGCTAGAATCAAGTAGGAGTAGCCACTACAGTTAGTAGGTGGAAGCGACGGAAGCGACTAAAAATATTTGTTTCCGCTAATGAATAAGACAAAAATGTTAAGCCCCCTCACAGATGAAACCAAATATCCGCCAATAACCAAGGTATTTGAATTGTTCTACCCTTTTAAATTCATAGTGATCTATTTTTAAGGACTGATAATACAGTAGTTCTCGCTTACTCAGAATCATATGTCCCGTCTTCATTTCTTCGTAAACGAAGAAAAATAATAATTTAAATAATCCTACTTTTGCTGCTGCTTTATACAGTCTTCTGAATAATGTCTTTAACCTATCATGAGATTCTTTCTCAGTACTATATCGTCTACATAAGCTAACAGGCCTACCGCCGTTTTTTGTAATTTAATAACTTCTTGAGGTCCAATTTTCATTTCTCTAACCACCTTCTCTAAGATGACGTTGAACAAAATCGGTGACAATGAATGGGGGTTCAGACAACTTAAAATCCAAAAAGAGAGGCCCAATAAAATACGAGGAAATTTATTTGAAAATACAATTTAAATTTTTGAACAAAACAATATGAACCAAGTTATGATTATAATTAAATGGTACAGGTTTCATACATTTTAAAATTGTAATTAAAACTGTTATCGTGGATTTATTTGCGTTCGATATGCTCGAGGTACGTACTTTCAGCATAATAAGTAATATTTTCATATTGTAATTTATGCGACGTAGATAATAAAAACAACAGAATGATAAATTAAAGGCGGTTCACAGAAGAAGGAAATGGTATAAAATTTTATTATTTTGTATTATAATGCTATATACAATTATTGAGTACAGCTAGTATATAGGTTTAATGATTTTTTTTATGTTAACTTTCCCATGTAATAAATTTTCCCAAGGTATTTTTTAAAATTAAATAGTTAAAGTATGTAATGCAAAGTAGAATTAAAAAAAAAAAAATTCACAATGAAATTCTGGTTACTATAAACGTATAATAAATCAAATTATTAAAATCATATTTTAAAATAAAAATATGTTATAATTATAATTATAGTTTTTTATTTATTAGAATGCTGGTAACTAATCAAAACTTATTGGTAAATATTATTGAGCAGAGGGTGGGTATAGGATTTGGTATTACAATAATGTTTATTTATTAATTTTTTCTGTAGACAACTATTCTATCTGCGATTTTGCTCAAATTTTCAAGTATAGCACTTATTCTAAAAGGAAATTTGACTTGGGTGGTACTTACCAACTGTTTTTACAATAAATGGAAAAAACCGGGAAAAGACGTAGGAAAAACGGGAAAATCGGTACAATAGTAAACAGATATTATTAAAGAAAATATATAATTATTTTACTATAATATGACAATATTAACCGGATTCCGCTCAGAATCGTTTTTCGTTAGTAATGGTTAATCGTTGAGTACACTAAATTATATACATATATTAAATTTCCTCTGTACCTTCCCAACTTTTCACTTACATCAGTGGCCCACCCATCGTGAGAAGTATGTCCGTTTTTTTTAAAGCTTATGTTTACATAATTACTTACTCTTTCTTCCATATTCCTTTTCAAGAAATACCAATTTAGTATCTATAATATGCTATAAATAGGTTTTGGAATCTTGTTTTATTTTTTCCCCCATCTGAAAATTACCCGGGTGCCTTGAATTGGTGTGTGCTTTTTTTTTAATAACAACAAGAAACCATTTTTATTAAATGTTAGATCTAGCTGGGGCATTGAAGAGATCGTTTTTTTTGTTTTTTCAACTAGTTTTTTTTAATTATTTGGGCAAAAACCAGGAAAAATCTAAAGAAAAATGGAAAAAATTACAAATTATAAATTAACTAACTTTTTGTATTCTACTTTCAAAATCTCCCATCTATAACAGTGGCACACCCATCAACAGTAGCAGTACCAGCCCTTTTTCATTTAGATTCTGATCGGGGCTATTGCAGTATTATTATGATAATAATAATATTTTAATTACTCATCATCCTTTTAGAGTATTGTAAGTTAAAAAATATTTTCACGAAAATTGTTTTCCGTTACTGAAACCGTCACTGCACATTATCGTTAACTTCATCATAAACTTCAACTTTATCATCATAGTATTCTTATAATGTAAAATTAATATTTAAATACCAATCGTGCATTAAAGTACGAGTATACCAATACACAGAGACCCTGACCATTTAATCTTTAATCAATACCAATATAATATATTATTTTTATTAAAAACCGCCAAAACCTGATGGATATAATAATATTTAATTTGATTTAACCCTTATGTCTAGGCCGCCGAATTTAATTACTACTGCACCTTAGTAAGTGTATCTATACGTTAAAAACACGAAACTTTTATTAATTAAAACCTCTTACTTTGTACCTACCGCATAGGTGTTTCCACGGCAATGGCAAATTAATATTTGTATTAT